TATTGAGTATGATATTATTTAACTAATTTACTTGTTTAACTTATATAAAATCTGATATAATTGGATATCGAAAATGGTTTACATCATACTAAATATAATGTTATTATGGTGAAGAAATAATTGAGGGAAAAGAAATACGATAGAAAAAAACAACTGAATGAGAACAAGTTATGATAAAACATACTGTTTAGTTAATAACAGTTGAATTCATGAGTCGATCTATGCTAAATCACTACTGAAAACCTAGAAGCACTGGATAGTTGTTTTGTTCTAATACGAGACTACACAGTAATGCACAATTAATTTAATAGCATAATCAAGAAGGAATTCTTTCAGTTAAAAGAGTTCTTTCTTTTACAGTAACCGAAATGGACACTACAGTAGGATAACCATATGTTTCTATTATGAACCATGTCTGGTAACACATTAAACTACTGAGTTGCACCATTTGTATGGTCCCAACCAGAAAGTCTTAATGAACTGATAGATGTTAGTCCTATATGGTTGTTTTTCCTATCAATGCATCATGTCATAAGCCATAACCAAAGTCATTCTTCGATGTGAAATTTCAAATTCAACAGCCTCTACTTTACAATAACGATTTAATTTATTAAATTTGAAGGTCATATAATAACACCTACCAAATCTAAGAAAGATTAAATATCCATTGAAAAGATAGTCGGTTTTATTACACATGGCTATTACAATTACATATTACATATAGTTTAGAGATAACCAAAAGTTTTCTTCTATCGAACAACAAGTATACATTATATAAAGAACAGCGTAGAATAACATGAATTACATACATTTCGTTAGGTTGTTGTCAGTTGCTCGCATCCAATGATATTTTGAGATCAAAATTATTAATCAAGTTTACATAAATATACAAACCAAATTTGTGAGACGTGATTATTTAACATCATTATGGAATGGCAATTGGAATTGTAAGCATAGATGATAAAGTCAAAAAGTCAGTTGATTATGTAATAAAGTAGCTGAACATAATTTTATAGTAATTATTAATAACGTGAGTTGAGATCAGTCACTTAAAATTAAAATTCTGAATTTGAAAGATTTAAAAAGGATGCAATTGAAGTAAGAGAAAGTTATAAAATATGGTGTAATCAAACCAGGGTAATGGTATCACCGTAAGGAAAGATTTAACACTGTTTCATTTTGAAGATCTAAATCCGATTACAAACAATTGTTGTAGCTTCAAAAAATTCAAGTAGACTAAAATTTAGTTCCAGAAGATACAAGTGTTTATTAACAGTTGTCTACGGAAAATACTTTGGATCCGTTGGCCGGACACTATTAGCAACAACCTACTGTGGGAGAGAACAAACCAGATCCCAGCAGAGGAAGAAATCAGAAAGAAGCACTGGAAGTGCATAGGACACACATTGAGGAAATCACAGAACTGTGTCACAAGACAAGTCCTCACATGGAATCCTCAAGGTCAAAGGGAAAGAGGAAGACCAAAGAACACATTAGGCCGGGAAATGGAGATAGACATGAGAAAAATGAATAAAAATTGGATAGAACTGGAAAAGAAGGCCCAGGACAGAGTAGGTTGGAGAATGCTGGTCGGCGGCCTATGTTCTATTAGGAGTAACAGGCGTCAGTAAGTAAGTATGTGGAGATATGCATGACAAAATTGTTTTGTAAATAGTTTTTGATGTTATTTGTATTTATTCTGTTAATTTCTCACAGCCTGTACATTTGCCATTAAACGATTGTACGTGTTCAAGGTCATACACTTAAACAACACGTACAATCGTTTAATGATAAATGCACAGACTGTGAGAAATTAACAGAATAAATACAAATAACATCAAAAACTATTTACAAAACAATTTTGTCATGCATATCTCCAAAAGTAAAGTTTGGTTGCCCATTGACCACAGTAAAAGATTTCAATGTATCAACCTGATTTCCTGCGTCAAAGTGATGCCTTGAAGTAACATTAATGAAAGCCTCTAATCCCTTTGACTTAAAATTTTTCGAAAGGTTATTTTTAGCTCTATGACTTTTCATTAATATTTTGATGTTCCACAATCTTATATACCGTATATATTTGAAACATTTTCTTCTGTCTTCCTAAAACGTTGTTCCAATCACCATACCACAGTGATGATGGATAATCACGTCTCACAAACTTGGTTTGTATATTAATGTTAACTTTATTAATAATTTTAACCTCAAAATATCATAGGATGCCAGCAACTGATGATAACCTAACGAAATGTATGCGATTCATGTCATTCTAGTCAAATCTTTGTTTTTGCTTGTTCCGAAATAATAAAATGAACTATGTGTATGGAAAGTGACTAATAATTGACACCTACTTTTCAGATTTTTGAAACCAGTCATAAACATTTGTATTATTTTATTTGCTTTAATCAATAGAATATAAGAAAACATAACAACAGCATAAATAATTACTCGAACAATTCCATATGTTTCTTGACTGAACTCCACCTAGAACCCTTCTAGAGTTACTACTAATCCTGAGATCTTTAAAAGGAGGGGGGTTGAACTTAGGGTTATCAGTCTGACTTCATAAAAAATAACTACGCTACAAAACCCCTAACTGGAGGAAACCGACTAAATATTCTTCTCTGGAAGTTAAACGCTATTCACATGAATGAGTAATAACACCTCATAGTGAAAACTGAGATTCTGTGAGAGGCATCAAGTAAACTGTCTTTCTGACTGACTTTGAATTTTAAACTTACATGAGCTTGATAATGAAACTATAAACGGGATTTAACTATCAAGGTTATCACTAATTACTTTGGTGATAATAAAACAAGTTAACTCCACTTGCTATAGTTACAATAGACAAAAACAGTGGACGAATTAGTGTCTAGAAATATAATAATTAATTAAAACGATGAGAAGTGAAAACAGTTGATAACTTCCAGTTATAGTAATGTTGAAAGGAATATAGTTGAATAGTTCTAGAAATACTGGAACATTGTTTTTGATATTTCGAATTTACAAAGTAGAAAATAATAGAGGATTTGAATGTATCGTTTGGCTATGTATTAAAATAAATTACATCATTCGACCTAGAGATATAAGTTTAACTTATTTTGGATATTCAATATCGTCAACTTAACCTTTTAATATATTCAGTATTGAAAGATTAGCTTTCTCCAAGTAAGTGAAGTTCAAAAGCCAAATGATCAAGATTATTCAGCCTCATAGAGGCTGACTCACGTCTTGAATATATCCAATTAGTTGTTTTCTTGTTCATAGCAATATGATATAGAATCTGTAATCTCTAAATTATTGTATAAATACTTAGATGAATTCTCTAGGGGTTAGTAATAGTTTCTAGACGGAGAACTAGTTTTCAATCAATGAGTGTCTGTCAGGGTCTTGTGATGAGATGCAGATTTCCTAGTTGAAGTCTGTGTAATAGTCTAAACGTATGATTGTAATGGTGAAACTACATCCACTTTTTATTGTCCTTTACATCTTGAACTTAACGTTATTTCATATTCATCATTCGCAGACTATCCGTTTCTTTTGGGCGAGCATTTCTATTTTAGCTTCTCATTTAAGTTGATGTTATCATTTCTTAGCCTCGGATTACTATCTCGTTTATTATTATTCGTACTGTGTTGATTTAATATGTAGCAAATGAGACCCATACTTATTTAAACCAGGACCTGCTTTGTCTATGATTGACTGGTTGAAATCGATACCATATTATTTTTAATGATAAAACATGGTGAATGAAATCATCAATCCTATTCATACCTCAGATAACTCTCTTATTTATATCAGTGACTAATAATGCCATGATATAATGTCATTGAGTAATAGTTACACAAGATAATTAATTCATCACAGAGACTTCGTAAAAAACTATGTATTTCAAGCATATTTTTAATATGATCGAAATAAATCGGAATTCATCATTATATCTGATTACTGCAATAATGATCCAACCAACAACAAAAATTCTGTTAAGGTCGTTTCCTTGGTAAATTAGTTTAAAAGGAGATATCTCTAGAAAACTGTTTTGTAAATTGATGACTGATGAATGTTATTCACCATGGAATAAATTATATATGTGAGACTAATATTAAAATTTATTTTTGCTTCTGAAGATTATCCAGAAGACCAACCGTTATTGAAAGTGGAACTAATAATAATAATAATAATAATAGCGATCATAAGACTAATCATGATGTTTTTTGACTGAAGTAACAATTAACTGAAGAGGTTTTGTTGAGAATTTGTAGATACTTAGTAGGTCATTTCTATTATAAACTGAAGTCAGTCAAAGATTCATTGAGACTCAATAAAGATCAGGCTATATCACAAATTTACCGAAAGTGAAAACATGAATCACTGAATTTTAACATAGCTATAAAAAGTTATTTCACTCGCTATGATATTTCAATTTCCTGGGTTCTATTTTGTATATCATAATGGGTAAACAACATTAATACCCCCCCACAACAAAAATAGGATGAAACGATGTTTTACACCCGTGTTCTGTGATAGTCAGTACACGTTTATTTCGTAAAACCTGCTTAACTTGGATTTATGGTGTCATTTACTATGAAGATGTGATCTTTATCAATTAATATTTATCTACTATCACACTTATATATCACACTATTGAAATATACACTACCTATTCACCAGGCTAGAAATTAATGGCTAATTTGAATATTATGGATACCAATTTGAATACCATAATTTCTTTGTACAGGGAGATCTTCAATTTTTTCTTAACGTTATTATATAATAATGAAAGTTGTGAGTTTAGCCCTTCAGAACAGAATGTGTTTTGCACAGTCCTATAGATTCTCCATTTATTTAGGAATTCCAATGGTAAACTGAAAGAAATACGAAATTCAAATTTTGATCGTTTTCGAATGTGTAATATTAAGAATAAAATATACACATGTATATGATGCAATAATAATATTGATCGGTGTAAACAGAAATTTAAGTTGCAAATAGAAACTTACTTATCATTACATCATCAGTAGAATGGATTGTATAAGTTTCTAAAGAATGGTCATATAATAATTTATTAATACTGCTAGTACTATCATTAATAACTGAAGAACTCATTAGTATAATGGTATTTTTGATGATTTATGCATTAAGTTGTTTGTTGATAGTTACACATAGTTTAGACATGCTTTTTCTTTAAAAGAAAAATGTATTGTGGATGAACTATTTTGATAGATCTTTGTATAAGATAAGAGAGAATATATATAACGTGATTGAAATCTCTTTTACATCTGTGTTATATTATCAGTTGAGTGGCCATGGGGTTATACAAACCGTTTACATTTTCTCTCCCACACTTGTTTTCACCTCTATTATAGAAGTGAGTGGTAAGTATATTTAGTTTTATGACATATTTTAACATCAATATTAGCTTTTTAAGAGAATTTTTAAATCATCTATCTACCTATCTATCTAACCAGGCAGAACGATAAATGCTAAGATAACCATTAGAAATTATTCAAATAACAGGGAGCATTTTCGAAAAGAGACTTAGATGAGAGAGAATAAAAGAGATTGGTAGATAGACGATAGAAGATGGAAGATTAGATGAACCAGGTTACATGTATCTTTGTCTTGCGTATTAAATTCACGTTGTTTACTAAGTGACAAAATTAGCAAGAAGATGAATTAGGTTGAACAGGCAGATATAGATTGTTAGATAGCAAGATGGATAGATAGATAGATAGATAGGTAGATATTTAGATGATAGATATAAGTAGTCAGACCTACTTTGTTAGAAAAACAAAATACATGTGAACCAATGGTTGTATTAAAAGGGGTGATTGTAATCAATTTATTTTCAAAAACGATTATCAGTTTTAACATAATTTTCATTCCATTCTATTCTATAATGAATAGTTAACCAATAAAATGCATAGATGAAGCGAAATCTGTTACTGATTATTTTAGAAATTGTCTATCCTTAACTGACTTTTATTGACAATTGGGGTAGATTGATTGTAACCTAAAAAACATAATATACTAATTTTTCTTCATTAACATCGACTGAAGAATCAGTGAATCTCAGAGAACGTTGAATAGATGCTGTTTTATTTTGAGACCGTTTAGCAACGTACGTCCTCTGGTGGAGAAAGAATTGTAACAGTTCTCCAGCTAATGTATTTTCTTATTAAAACCAGTCTTTACCGGAAATTTGAACAATACATTTGAGCAAATATTTTTGTTAATAAAATATAGTTTTATATTAATTATGGTTGTATTGAGTGCTGTTGATATTGGAAAGTCTGAACTGATTCAAAAGGATAGTTTAGAAAAAACAACAAAGTATCAGACAAATTTCTCATCATGTTTTAGGATTTTTCAGCAGTGACAATCCACTTTTTCCACAATTTTATTTCATAAAGTCTTAGAATCCTGAAGCCAATTTCTAACTATCGATCGATTTGATCACTATATGGAACGTTACTAATGTTGTAAGAAGAAAAGTAAACAACCGCTTATAATTTCGCCATTTCACCATACGGTGTCATTTTAGGGTAAAGCATTGATCTGGTGAGGATGTATTAAACGGTTAGAAGTAGTTGACAGGAAATCATAGACCTAGGTTTCATGGTATTTGGCATGGTGCACCTATAATCTTGAGGAAACTGTTTCTCCATGGCTGATTCGTAACCGTGTTACCCAGTTTCACAATCTGAGTTACCTAGGCCTAGACTAAACTCCTATATGATTGAGATATTACTAGTTGATTGGATACATATTCCCTCTAGTCATTTTTACTGCTGATCAAATTCAGTCGGTCGAGAACTAGATAAACATGACATTGGACACTATTTAGTGATCAGTCTTTTGTACAGTGAGGATAAATCTATTTCATAACTTCTGAATAAAAAGTTATTTTTGATCTTAGTGGGAACAAACACTGTCTTCACTTTATGAAGGACTCATTTGACTAAAAAATTAAATTTTTAGTTTTAGAAAGTAAAGTCATATTTATTTCTGTATCCCCGTAACCAGATAATTTAATAATTTACAAAAATGTACTTCTTAGTTTAACGTTTGTCATTCTCGTGTAATTGCTTTCTATCACAAAGTAAAGGAGGTTGAAAATATGAACGACTGAATTCTGCAACTAAGATGTAATGTGTACGTTATTAAATCAGAAGGTCCGTGTTTCAACTACTATGGGATTATGGATACGCAATCTTGAAGTCTCAAAAATGGAACAAAACAACTGTTCAGTAATTTCTGGTTTACACTGGTTCTTTAGCTGTTATTATTCATTGGCAGTCCTGTTTCGACTGTAAATTTCAAAAGACCAAGATGTTCCAAATTCTAAAGTTCATTGTTGAAACAGTATTTTGTAGGAGAAAATGAAGCTTTTCTTATTTTAGATATTAAAATTACTGAGATACACATTCTTCAGAATTCATGTGTAAACAGATATTCTTAAAAATATTATATAGAATAAGGAAATTAGTAAAAAGGCTTTGTCTTCTTGAGTAGACTTCCAGTTCATAAAAAATTCTTAGATATATCACAACCATTATATGCAGTAATAACATATTCATGAAGAAAGTATTTCTTAGATGAATTTCATATTTTGTTTAAATAACACTATTCTTTTCTAATGTACTTATGCCTGTTACTCCTCGTGGAGGAGCATAGGCCACCCATCAGAACTCTCCATCCAACTTTGTTCTAAGTAATTCTTTTTATTTGTTATTCATCTTTTGCATGTTTGCTTCCAATTCGTGACTCAGTGTGTTCTTTGGCCTTCCATTTTTCCTTTTCCCTTCAGGATTCCAAGTTAGTGCTTGCTTCGTGATGCAGTCTGATGATTTCCTTAATGTATGATCTATCGACTTCCAACGTTGTTTTCTAATTTCCTCCGTTAATTGGAAGCCGATTTGTCCTGTCCCACAGTAATCACAATTGATTGATCACTGGGTGACCAATGTCATGCGTGTCTAGTCCTTATTATTAGTGCAGATCGAATGCTATCGATCATGTTGCAATGTGGCCACCAGTCTAGGTGACTCGACACTGCGGGCACTATTGTGAGATTAGATGGTGATTGGAGGTAGTCGACAGGAAACCCTGGACCCGGGTTTCGTGCTACTTGGCACTCGTCAGCAAGGTGTACCTGTAATCTTCGAGGGAACTGGTGCTCCCTGGCGGATTCGATCCCGTGTCACCCAGCTTCACAGTCAGAGACGTTACCACTGAGTTATCCGGGCCGCGACCCACCTCCTGTAGGACTGAGATGTAGTCACAATTGATTGATCACTGGGTGACCAATGTCATGCGTGTCTAGTCCCACAGTAGGCTGTTGCTGATAGTATTCGTCCAACTGATATTGAGTATTTTGCGTAGACAACTGTTTATAAATACTTGTACATTTTTGATATTGGTTGTAGTAGCCCTCCAAGTTTCAGCTCCGTGTAGTGTGTGTCATTATAAAAATATTTTAAACAATTTTTAATCATACTCAGCTCTCCTCTGTTTACATATATCTGCTGCTCTAAGATATTTAATCTAAATAATGTTCTGTTATGATATTCAGACATAAAATTAACGGTTTTAGGCCTAGATTTTCTATAACTGCTGTCTCCAATAAACGAATTAGTTAGATTTTAGTATTTGTTTAAATAAGATTTCTATAATTTAATTATATTCATGATTTTTTTCCCGATATTTTTCAATACTTTTTAATAAAACGAATCAGTTATTGTTATTCAATAAATATTCGTTTTCTTCAGAATGGTTATTTGAAGATCATCTCACATTCGGGTCAATTTCTTATATTTATTAGTACGATGTTTCAGCCATGTTAAGGTTGGTCAAGCCTTGTCCGGTTAGGTAAACTGGTTTTTCTGTAAATAATTTCCGTTTAGCAAGGCTCACAAACTCACTACATGTATGTGATTTTGTGGGGAAATCGTTACCTCCGTGTCTCACTAGGGACGAGTCTATTCTACATGTATGCCGGTAACACATAAGTTTTCACCAATGCATCTCATACCATACTTTTAGGTATATTCACCCACTTAGGAGGGTAGATGATTAACGCTCCTTTCGAATATATTCGTTACAGCTGACTGTTACTTACGCTCTACATGCATATCACTGGTATAAAGATTTAGCTTCTGTACTTCATGACATACATATAAGCATAAGCACTATTTTAGAGAAGGTTTATGGTCACCTCTCCCTAGTTATTGCTACCATATTTCTTTTTATTATATCTTCGACCTAAATGATCAAGCCGCTTATTTTATTAGACATAAGGAAAACATTTTTCAGTTTACGTTCGTTGTGCTAATGTACACGCATTCCCCTTACATATACTTACACACATAAAGCCAAAACCCATTTAATTCATCTACATAAGCATACACATCAGATGGCCAGCAAGATTTTGGTGAGCACCGAAATTGGAACCCAGTTATTCCGGTTTATAACAGAGTGATCTCCACCAACTGCCTAAGTTATAGCTAGGAAAACTGCCCTCACTACCCAGCAGTGCCACGGGGACGCCTTAGGTTCGATTTTACTGGGAAGTTTTAAGTTCACAAAGCATATCATAAATTTAATTGATAGCGAATAAACCTAAATAGTTACGAAAAAGTTCGAAAGTATGAAAAAAGCTATTTATTGATAAAAGTAAGTTAAAATTATGTATAACTTTTTATTTCAGTTAGTTCATTTTAAAATTCTATTTTGAATTTTCAATGAATTATTTCTATTTCTTGCTTATTCCATGTTAAGTCTTCCATTGTTCCGTTCTAATTGTTCTGTTTGTTTTGTTTTCTGGATATAGATTTTTGCTTCTTCTTCTTCTTCTTCTTTCTATCAGCATAACTATCATAAGCATCAATCAGTGTTTTCATATTTATCATTCATCATAACAAATTATTGTGTTTATGTTTCATACTACTATTATATTTAATATTTACATTTTAAATAATGATAATACAAAATGAAAATTTATTGTATAAGTAAAATGACAAACTTGAAAAGAAGCAATCTCATTCTATTATTTGAACATTCTTTATATGTAGATATTATGTAGACAAAAGTGATTGAGTTTGTAG